GTTGTTGTTGTTGTTGATGTTGTTGTTGCTGTTGTTGGTTGTTGATGGTTGGTTGTTGGTTGTTGGTTGTTTGTTGCTTGCTGCTTGCTGCTTGCTGTTGCTTGTTGTTGTTGCTGTTGCTGTTGCTGTTGCTGTTGCTGTTGCTGTTGCTGTCGCTGTTGTTGTTGTTGTTGTTGTTGTTGTTGTTGTTGTTGTTGTTGTTGTTGTTGTTGTTGTTGTTGTTGTTGTTGTTGTTGTTGTTGTTGTTGGTGCTCTTGGTGTTGTTGGTGTTGTTGGTGTTGTTGTTGTTGTTGTTGGTGTTGTTGGTGTTGTTGGTGTTGGTGTTGGTGTTGGTGTTGGTTGTTGTTGGTTGTTGGTTGTTTGTTGGTTGTTGTTGTTGTTTGTTGTTGTTGGTGTTGTTGTTGTTGTTGTTGTTGTTGTTGTTGTTGTTGTTGTTGTTGTTGTTGTTGTTGTTGTTGTTGTTGTTGTTGTTGTTGTTGTTGTTGTTGTTGTTGTTGTTGTTGTTGTTGTTGTTGGTGTTGGTGTTGTGTTGTTGTTGTTGTTGTTGTTGTTGTTGTTGTTGTTGTTGTTGTTGTTGTTGTTGTTGTTGTTGTTGTTGTTGTTGTTGTTGTTGTTGTTGTTGTTGTTGTTGTTGTTGTTGTTGTTGTTGTTGTTGTTGTTGTTGGTGTTGTTGGCGTTTGTTGTTTGTTGTTTGGTGTTTGTTGTTTGTTGTTTGTTGTTTGTTGTTTGTTGTTTGTTGTTTGTTGTTTGGTGTTTGTTGTTTGTTGTTTGTTGTTTGTTGTTTGTTGTTTGTTGTTTGTTGTTTGGTGTTTGGTGTTTGTTGTTTGTTGTTTGTTGTTTGTTGTTTGTTGTTTGTTGTTTGTTGTTTGTTGTTTGTTGTTTCTTGTTTGTTGTGTGTTGTGTGTTGTGTGTTGTGTGTTGTGTGTTGTTTGTTGTGTGTTGTTTGTTGTTTGTTGTTTGTTGTTTGTTGTGTGTTGTGTGTTGTGTGTTGTTTGTTGTTTGTTGTTTGTTGTTTGTTGGTTGTTTTGTTGTTTGTTGTTTGTTGTTTGTTGTTTGTTGTCTGTTGTTTGTTGTCTGTTGTTTGTTGTTTGTTGTTTGTTGTTTGTTGTGTGTCCTTTGTTGTTTGTTGTTGTTGTTTGTTGGTTGTTGGTTGTTGGTTGTTGGTTATTGGTTGTTGGTTGTTGGTTGTTGGTTGTTGCTGCTGCTGCTGCTGTTGTTGTTGTATCAATCACACACACACAAACAATGCTTATTTATTACACCTGTATAAGCGTTTTTGTTTTCTCGCATGCGTTTCCGACCAATGAAGCAAAGCAAAAGCACCACCAACCAAAGAACGCTTTTCCAGCCGTTGTTTTTTTTCAGGTTGACAGCGCTGTCGCGCTGTCTCGCCTCGAATGGTCGCGCAGCTTGGCTCGAGCGATCGGCTCGAGATGTGGCCTTCCACGAAGGAGACCGCGGCGCTGGTGCGGTATCAGCACGTGGCCTGGGCAAGTCATGGGGAGACCCTCCAAAACTCGACTGGGCGTCTTTTTTTGGGGGATCGGAGCCTGAAATAGGTGGGGTTCCTGCTGGTTTCCCTTTGATTACCACTAAGAACGGGGTACCCTCAAAGAAAGGCACCCCCAGTTCTCCTCAGTGTTTGGACGTTAGGGGGTACCAAAACCCTGTATGGCTTCAAAGGTAGGGCTCAAATTCCCTGGTAGGCTAAGTGTGGAACATACTGACAATGTGATTTTCTGTGTACCCCAGATGTGGGCCAAGCTTGGAGCAAACGACGAGTTTTTGGACAGCACCAAGGGTTTCTTTCCACGGGGGCTATTTCCCCTTCAAGGGCCAATTTTAGGTGAGACTAGCGAGGAAATAGGGAATCCTGAACATATGAAATTCAAATGTTGGACAAATGCCCCGAAAAAGAACCTCCAAAGCCCGGCATCTTTTGTCAAACTAAGACTTGGCTCTTGAACAAAACCCCTAACCTCCGAAAAGGGCCGGCTTGTTTGACCGCAGGTGAGCAGTTAATAAATATGCTGTGAGCGGACGGGCGCCTTTAACCCACATGTGTTAGTTGGTCTCCATGGTAACTACCATTAGGAGAGGGGGGCCGGGGATACTTCAACGTCAATTTGAGGAATGGGTTCAATAGTTCCTCCAAAAACCCGTGCCTGACAATTCCCAAAAGTGATCTGGTGTCCTTGCCGTGGTGGGGCTGTGGTTTGAGACCTGTTTCCTGAGGGCCCACAATTGCTGGTGCTCAGTCCAGAATGACCGGCATGACCGTTCCGGGTGTCGGGAATGAACCGGAAGGGGATTCCTTTACAGGAAACCATCGGAAGCAATTTTCATTGCAGGCATTGATTAAACAACAACCAAATATCTTCAGGCAGACCCCTTGGGTCGATCTTTGCCGGACTGATCGTACCTAGAGTCTCCTGTTGACCCTTCAAAAGTGCGGTGGGCCTCTCCAAAACGAACTATTTTTTGGGGTTGTAGGTAGGTTATGGGTAGGTTATAGGTAGGTTATAGGCAGGTTATAGGCAAGTTATAGGCAGGTTATAGGCAGGTTATAGGCAGGTTGTAGGCAGGTTGTAGGTTCATTTTTGGAGAGGGGTGTCCAGAATCCGGTGTGGATCTGCGCCTTCAGTGGTTCTTCCCTGTGTTGTTTCTTTTCTTAGTAGTCTTTTAGTACTCTCTTCATCTTGAGGGGTGGACCCCACAAAAGCCGGCACCTCCAAACCAATTTTCTCGACGAGCTTCCCCTCGGCAACGAAGCCGAAGCCCGGCTCCGCTTTGGAAGTTGCTGAGGTGGAACAGGACTCCGGCTCGGAGGATGGCTTGGAGGCTCCTGGAAGGGGGGGAGGGGGTGGGGGGGAGGAGGGGGTGGGGGGAAGGGGTGGGGGGGGGGAAGGGGGTGGAGGTGGGGGGGGGGAAGGGGGTGGAGGTGGGGGGGGGGGGCGAATATGCGGGAAAACTCCATTCCACCATCAAAGCAATGGAGGGGGTGGAGGGAGGTTTTGCGCCAAAATGTTTAGAAAGGTCAAAACAAGTTTTCTGGAAGTGGGCAATTCGAGTTTTGGGCGCTTCTCATACGAGCAATGGACAAGATTACTGGGTTGGGGTTTTGAGTGGGCCATTTACTATTGGCTTCGTAGGTTGGTGGATATCGGTGTTGGGCACGCCGTTTCTGATGGTAAGTTTACCGGTAACTCAAGCAGTCCATTTGGGAGAGACACATGCTATGTGTGGAGCAATTATTTGTTTCAAATCATTGCCCAGGGATGTTGTGGAATCCTATGGAAAGGAAAGCCACCAGGAGAGTCTTTCAACGAGTCTTTGTGGAGAACTGGAAAGCCACGAATTTGCTTGGACGTTGCAATCATTTTTCTCGGATGAATGGCAGATCGATGCCGGGGTCTCCTCAAAATCTATTTTAAGATTTGGGGTACCTGGAGTCCTTCTGACCCTTTACAAATGGTTGGTCATTGCCACCAAAATTCATGGGTTATGACCCCTTGTTCCAGGGGTCAGAAGGAGACTCTAGGTAGTCACTTCTCGGGTTTGGTTGCCATTTGAGGGGTAAATAACTCGCTGGTGCGACAGGCAGGGAATGAGAAATGGAATGACCCTTCTAAACCATCCAACTGGTGGGACAGCGTAGCTTCTCTTTGGTGCGACCCCAAACTTGTGTTGCCTCCAACCTAGAAGTTTCAGGTGCAGCAACCTCAGGGCTCGGAGCAAGCCGGTCAGTGCCCCCTTCACTGGATCCCTCCCAACCCACCCTTCACCGGCGACCTCGAATCATCTTCCCTGGCGTGTTCTGAGATTGTTCACCGAGAATCATTAAACTTGAAACATTTGCCCCACCGGTGCCTCGGACACTTGGAGTATACTTGGCAGCCGACCCAAACAAGTCCCCACCTAGAGCACCGTATTTTTCTGGGTAAGGACCAACCATTTTTAAAGGGTCAGAAGGAGACTCCAGGTAGAAGAATGATTTTTCGTTTCTCCCTTCTTGGGAGTCCAAGCGATGAGTTGGCGCAGTCTGCAAAGATGGAGGTTGCAGAAAACGGACACGTGTCCATACGGCCCCACCCCCTACTGTGGATGGACAAAATCCCTTCGCACCACTTGGAAACTATGATTGAAACCATTGTTTGTCGGAATTTGCTGGGGAATCCAATCATTCCAGGGCTGCTTTTCGGGGGTGCGAAATGGATTTCGCAACCATCCACAGTAAGGATGGACGAAATCCTGCACCACTTGGAAACGATGGAAACCATTATTTATTAGTATTTACTAGGGAATCAACTCATTCCAGGGTTTCTTATGTGGTGCGAAATGAATTTCGCAACCATCCAGGTATGACAAGGATGGGGTCTAGTGATGCCAGTCACGGGAAGTTGTTGAGGCCCAATCCGATGGCTCCGAAGTCGACTCCAACCTCAGCCTGCCCTGGCGAAGCATCAGCGCGACGCTGGGATTGAAAACGGAGAGCGGAAGCTGGCCGCCGGAAGACCAAAACTCATTGAACAGCCGCTTTCTATATCAATTGGCTGTGGGTCATAAAATGGGTGCCCAAAAATAGAAGAACGGTAAATGGAACCAAGGACGAACATCTGCGGTCCCCTGGTGGATTAATTTCGAGCCACACCCAAGCATAAAGTGTATACATCTACGCATGTTTGTGTGTGCGTGTATGAACAATGGGTCTTAACTGGAGTCTCCTCCATAAGTGTATCATATTCTCAAATGTACATTCATAATTGTACCAATCGAAAGTTGGGCAGTTTAGTTCGGCACATCACAGTTGGTTTGACTGAGCCCCTGTAAATCGGAGTAGGTTTCTTTGAGCGAGCAGCTCTCGTTGTCTCTGTTTTCAGGTGGCAACGCACTCTTGCACCTAGCAAGACAACAAGACAACCCAAATTATCAAGTATGAACAAGGGCCCATGTGGGTTTGTGTTTGTTTTGCGGGACACCCAAAATGGTGGTGATGTTCCCTTTCGTTTCCCTTCAAAACTACCCCCCCTCCCCAAGAAAGCGGGTACCCTCAAAGAACAGATCCAGATGAGCCACTATCAAGACCCGGGTAGATGAAGATTAGCAAGGGACAATCCCAGCCAGAATTCGTTGCGGCCGCCTTTGTAGTTCTTTGCATTGGTTTGGGGAAACCATTTTAATAACTGGTTTTGATTGTGACTCTTTTAGGGGACCCCCCAAAATGGTGGTGATGTTCCCTTGCCTTTCCCGTTAAAACTAGCCCCCCAAGAAAGCAGGTACCCTCAAAGAAGAGACCCAGATCAACGCAGCCAGCTCAGGACAGTGGCGCTGGTGTGCCTGGCGGGTGTAGCAGTGGCCAATTTCCCCAGCAAAGAGTTCAGCCCCTTCCACTCCCAGCCCCTTGGGCGATGGACATGCGGCAGATGCCACGTTGCAGCTGCAGTTGTCGACATGAAACGGGTTTTTCTTTTACAGTTCCCCTGTTTCGGCGTTGTCCACTTGCCATGCCCCCAAAGAGTTACCCTCCCCAGACTAACATGGAAGCTCCCAGGACCCCTTTGGAAGACTTGGTTCCGTGTACGAGAGGCCTTCTGGGAGCTTCCATGTTAGTCTGAGGGAGTGTAACCTTCTATTTGGGTGTGGCTCAAAAAACCGCAATTCCAAAATGGGTTGCCCTGTAAGCGGAAACATGCACCAAAACCCGCGATTTGATCTCCGATCGTCTAATTTTGAGCCACAGCCATTTCTGGGTCCAAGTTTTGCCAAGTTTTGCTGCGCACAGCCGGCCAGCCTGGGACCTGGAAGGAAGACACGCGCACACACACACACACACACCTTCTGGGATGACCGAAAGGTCCCTCCTGTCCCTGTCCCTACCTAGAGTCTCCTTCTGACCCCTAGAACAAGGGGCCACCCCTTAATTTTGGGTAATGACCAACCATTTTGTAAGGGTCAGAAGGAGGCTCCAGGGGTGCTTGGATGGGATTTTGTTTTGCAGATGCCATGTAGTTTTGCTGTATTCGTGTTGGCGCGTGCGAGATTTGGATCCTGGTGATTGGCTGCAAAGCGAGTTTGTTGCTACCATGCCACGGGTGCAGGAGATGTTGATGTCTTCGCCGTGCGTGGTGTTTTACTTTGATTCGATTGCAGCGCGAATACCAACACGCAATGGTTTCTCGTGCGACATGGATTTCGCCCATCCACATGCGGAATACTAGAGAAATGGAATGTCAGGACCCCCGGGCCTCCCCTCCCCTCCCCTCCCCTCCCCTCCCTCCCCTCCCCTCCCCACAAGGTAGGGGGGATACCCTGACCAATCAATCACGTCAATCTCAGGAGTAACGGGAGCGTACCCGTGAAAGTGCTTGGCAAGGTCTACTTGGATGTTGGATTTGCCAGGTTAGTATGTGGGGATCGCCACCTGTGTTATGACCCACCAATCACAAGGCTAACTCCACTTGAGCCACAATCAAAACCCGGGTAGATGAAGCCGAGCCAGAAATGGTTGCGGCCGCCTTCTTAATTCTTTACATGGTAGACCATTTTAAAATTGGGGATTTGATTGTGACTCACTTAGGGGAACTTATAAGTGGGTCGTAACCAATGTTTCCAACAACATACTCATTTGACCAAGCACCCCAGTATCCTTGATTGCATGTCCCGTGGAAGTGTTTATGAGGGCCCCATTAAATCACAAGAGTCGAAGCAATCCCCAAAGGTACTGAGATCACAGATTGTTTAGGGATGCTGAATGAAACAAGATGGCCTGCTTTGTGTGTTCGTTCCTTCTTTCCTGCTTTCCTCCTTTCTTTGTGTCCTTCTTCTCTTTTGTCCTTCCTCCTTCATTCCTTCTTTCCTTTGTTCCTTCTTTCCTTCTTCCCTTCTTTCCTTTTGTCCTTCGTTCGTCACATTTATGCTTCAACGAATCCAAGCCGTTTTTCAGCAGGCCACGTGGAGGATGAATGGTGCTTCTTTTGGAACGGACTGGCCGGCTCTGGAATGAGTTCTTGGTGGCTCAGAATATCCGCCGCTCCAGATAGCCATGCTGTTCCGGAACTGGGTTGATCAGAAGATCCTTTACATGGAATGAGCATTGGGGGAAGCCACGAAAAAGATGACATGTCCCACATGGGAAAAGTTACCCATGGTCAGTTGGGGGCCCTAAATGGAATATTGCTCCACCCCCAACTCTTGCTTTGTTTTCCCAGGAGAAACATAAGTACAACCTCATGCCTGGTAATGGACACCCGTGATCTAAGTAGACCCCCTGGTTGATTACTAGGGGGTTGCACCCTCGGTTAATTAGAAGGGCTTCTAAACATTAAGTGTTTCATATGATACTCCCAAATGGGTATCGTTCAGTATGTTTCTGGCAAATTGGTGCTTTGCCGCAGGGCTCTCCAGGTTGTGATTCTACGACTTTTGTTCATTGATAGCTAGCCATAGTTATTGCTGTAGAAGCTTCTTGGAAGCTTGACATATGCCCAGATCCTTCACGGACAATTCCATGACGCCTTTTTGGGTTTCCCCCTATTTTGGTCAGCGGACTCGGAGACTCCAGGACGATATGACAATGTTATTTGGTTCCCTGACTAAGCTACGACACACCCATGTCATTCAGAGGCGAAAGAAAGAGAAAACACGACTCTCTGGGGCATGCTGTTAGGCATGCGGGAGACGTGGTGGACGAATGGGAGAAGATCCCGAACATCTCCAGAGTTGTGCGGCGAGCGGAGGGCCGCTTAGCGAGATATCGCCAGCGCGTATTTGGGAAAACGAGCAAAAGCCATGATGTCCTTTACTTCAGCGTCCTACTACTTAGTGGTTTGGTTTGGTGGTTTGGTGGTCCAGGGGTTTACCCTCTGCAGGAACCAGGGGTTTAGATCCCCCAGGAATTTAGATCCCCCAGCCATCCAAACCTTTAAGCAAGGGTATGCCTGAGTACTTGGGGATCCGATTCTTGTTTCAGGTTCTGTATCTGGGTCCCCAGTAGTGCGCTTCTCTCCCCTTTTTTGGTTGGGAGGGTTCCCCTACTTAAATAGACTACAGAAAATGGGGGCTTAAGCAAACGGAAGTGTTGTAAATGTTGCTCAAACACATTGCTGATTTGACCAAAGACATTGAACATGGCTCACTCCCTGAGTTCTGTGGCAACCAAATTCCCTGGGGTTCAATCTCCATTAAAAAAAGATTAAACTAGATGGCAAGGACCCAGCCTGGGTGATTACAATCCTGAACAGTAAACGTTTTGGTGGTTATATGAACCCACTCATTGTTATGGTGGCCTGCCTGAATCCCCAAGGAAAATATAATTAGATTTTCCTTTTATCCCCTACCACCCCAGGGCAAAGCTTAATTACTTTGGTCAAGCCACTCGATGGGAACCTGGATTTTTCATGGCTGAAGAGCCCATGGCATCCAAGCCTGGCAGTACCAAACGCTGCCAGGGAGGATCGAGCAGTTTTCTTTTCTGGGTTTTGGAGGTACTGTGGATGCATATTTCTGGGGTGGGTACATGCTGCCTCACAAGATCTTATATATCTTATATTGGTGGTAGACAAGCATCCATACCTCCAAAACCCATCTCCCTTCAAATTGCCCTTGACTTGTGCCCGGATTTTTGGGGAGGATGGCACTCTGGACACTCTGCCCCCCGCAGAAAGTGCAACCCGACAGGTCCCCATGGTGAAATCGTCAGGGGTATGAGTCGAGAGTACCCACCTGAAACACGGCTGGGTCAGGGTGTGGCTGTGCCCCAAATGCAGGGAAACACCTTTACCTGGACCCTCAAACTATTTTGAAACTAGGGACCCATCAATGTGGGGCAAAACACATGTTTTTTGGTTTGCTTGAGGGTCCAGATTTAAGAGTTCCTAGAATTCCTAGAGGTCGCATGGGATCAAATGACCTGCTCACTTGCCCACAGTGATTCTGAGCTTTTGGCCTTTCGGCTGTGTGGGATCCCTGGCCAAGACTTGGGGGAAGCTCTACGCAGGCGCTGGAAAACCAAAAAGGAGGTCCCGCAGCCTCACGGGCATAGAATGGCACTGGTTTAGCTTAGGTTTAAGAAGGTCCTTTTTAGGTTAGTTTGATTGAACACGAATGGGAATGGTTTAGGTGAATTTCATTCCATGTACCAGGGCCATCTATTTTCCCAAAAGGCCATGCTCACGGGTCCTTTTCTTTTGAGACTCAACATACGCAACAAACCAGAAAAGCTCTCTAATTTCCTACTTTTCCTTTTTGCGGGAATATCCCAACCAGGCCTCCAAAAGTTTATCTTCAATGATCGGTTTTGTCTCAAAACGTTTTAGTTTCCCTGGAAACCACCGCTTTCGTCGGGCACCTAGAGTCTGACTTGTTTCTTTGGTCTCGAAGAACGACCAGATACCCTTTTGACGCAGCTACATGGAGTCTCCATGACCCCTAACAAAAGGGTCATAACCCCTTAACTTTGGGTAATGACCAACCTTTTTGTAGTCAGAAGGAGGCTCCAGGTACCTTCCTCCAGACAGGTCTCCGCATATGTCGCCTCTCTCGGGAAAAAAAGCGCTCGCTCAGGCCTGGGGCCCCCGCCAGCGCGGAACCTGCGGGACCTCTTCACCACCTACCAGGCGAGTGGAGCCAACGGCAAAGCCGAAGCCATTTTTGGGGGTCGCCTTTTGGTGACCTGTTTGGGGGTTACCTGTTTGGGGGTGACCTAAGAAAGGCACAGATCGTTTGGCGTGTGCTTTCTTATTGATGTTTCAAAGGCACCCCATAGTAGCGTTTTGCGGACAAATCCCCTATCAAGAACATTTTCGGTGAGGGGGCGTTGTGGATGGCCCCTAGTTTTGTTCTCCTCGGCTTGGCGGGCCGGGTCGTAGCAGGGTCCTTGGTCGTCGGTCGGTCGGGCGGTGAGTTTGGTGGCTCGTTTGCGGCTTCTGGCCGTTTTGGTAGCTTTGTCTTTCCACATCCAGCAGCATCGCTGCCAGGATAGTAATTGTAATCAACTCTAAACCGGCACCGAACAAATCCCTAAATCACCAAAGTTCAACCCTAAACAAACCCAACAAAGTTCCACCCTAAACAAGTCCTCTAGTATACCAACCCTAAACCCACCCGAAACCAGTTCTAAACCAACCCTAAACCAGCTAAACCTTCCATAACCCCCCCCCCCCGGACGCACCTCTTCCGTCCCTCAACTGATTCCCACCCCAACCCAAAACCATTTCAAGAATACCGGTTAAACCACACGCATCACAGGTAATTTGCTTCAGCTCAAGAAACGCTTCTGAGGACCAGTGGCATTTGTCATAACCGCGCAGCACGCAGAGCAGCCACCCAACCAACTCCTCCCAGAATTTGTAGCGTCAGCATCACGCAACCTTCTACAAACCCCCAAAAAGCCCTATGAACCCTCCATGAACCCCTCTAAACCCTCTATGAGCCCCATATAAAAAGGCTCCACAAACCCACACAACTCCCCCCAAACAAATCCCTGTACAGTCCCTTTCTGGACCGTGTTTCAACCCCGCGGACACCCCAACGACTTGGGCGGCCCTCCAAACCCGCCGAAGACGCCAGGAGTACCCGGCGGAGGTGCAGCCCTGGGCCACGGCCAGCTGCGTCATCGACGCGGTGCAGGCGTCGGCGTACCTGGGGCAGGCGGTGGTGTACCTCTACAAGGCGAGGAGAGGGGGGCGATGGGGGGTTGAGGTTGGGGCGGGGGTGGGATGGGGGGGGGGGGGTTAAGGTTGTGTGTGTGTGTGTGTGTGTGTGTGTGTGTGTGTGTGTGTGTGTGTGTGTGTGTGTGTGTGTGTGTGTGTGTGTGTGTGTGTGTGTGTGTGTGTGTGTGTGTGTACGTGTGTGTGTTGTGTTGTGTGTGTGTGTTGTGTTGTGTTGTGTTGTGTTGTGTTGTGTTGTGTTTTGTTTTGTTTTGTTTTTGCTTTGTTGTTGCTTTTTTTTTGGGGGATATGTTATTTATGAACTTATGTATTTATTGGTTTTGTCTTTATTTATAGAAACGGGGGGCGTGGGGGGGGTCAAGGTTGGTGGTTATTTGGGGGGGTTGTGGTTGTTTGGGGGGGGGGATGGGGGGGTTATTTGGCGAGGGTTAAGGTTAGGGGGGTTATTTTGTTAGGGCGGGGGGGGGTGGTATTTCGGGGCGGGGGTTATTTCGGGGGCGCCATTAAGGCGAGGTTACGGGGGGCGAGGTTACGGGGGGGCGAGGTGGTGGGGGCTATCTTTGGGGGGTTATTTGGGGGTTATTCGGGTTTGGTTTAGGGGGTTAGTTGATAGGGTTACCTATATATTAAGGGCTGGGGGGGTATTTCGGGGGGGCCATTTAGGTGAGGTAAGGGGGCGCGAGGTTAAGGGTAGGAGTTAGGGAGGTTATTTTGGGGGTTATTAGGATTTGGTTTAGGGGGTTGAGGTTTCTTGGGGGGTTGTTTGGTCCTAAAGGAACCCTGAAGTCCAGAAATTAAGGGAGTGAGAAAGGGGTGCTGGGAGGGTTAGGGTTTTGGTTAAGGATGGCTTAGAGAGGTTTCTTGGGCGGGGGGGCGGGGGGGTCGTAACTGGTATTCCCCAACTCAGGAATTATTTCGGGAGGACCTTTGGGGATCCCTTACCCAGGTGCTCGTCCGAAAAGTCGTTTTATGCGTTTGACGCCTTCACACACCCTCGACGCGAAAATGATGATCGATCAAATTTTCTCAATTTGGTAGCCATCGATGGCGTAGATCAAAGACAAAGGAGCCTTTGGGTTAGTTGAAAGGGTTTTGTTCAGGGAGTCTAGAGGTTTACGCTGAGGGGGGGGGTTGGTGGAGGGTTACTGATCCCTTAATTCGACCCCGAGAAAGACCATCCGCTCGAGCTTCCTTGAATCGAATCCCCCAAAGCCGGTGATTCAACCAAGACCCGGACCCGGACGCAGCGATCGCACGAGAGGGGGCGGAACACCTCGCTGCTTGAGCTCCGTTTTGGTCTTTACCTGGAGTCTCCTCCTGACCCATTAAAAATGGGGGGCATTACTCAAAATTAAGGGGTTATGACCCCTTTTTCTGGGGGTCATGGAGACTCTAGGTAGTCACTTTTCGGGTTTGGTTGCTATTTTAGGGGTAAATAACTCGCTGGTGCGATAGGCAGGGAATGAGCAATGGAATGACCCTTATAAACCATCCAACTGGTGGTTCCTTTAAGGGGGAATCCTGGGTTCATTCCCTCATTCCCCCACTGAGCACCAGCAAGAAAACACGTTTGGTTCATTTTTTGGGGCCATCTCCTCGGGCTGTTCAAAGGTAATCCTTAATCCTTACCTGGGGTTGCGCACGGAACCGGTCCGCGGAACCAAGGACCAAACCTGTAGTCCCCTGGTGGTCGAATTTTGACCCGTACCCGGCAAGATAAGAAGTGTGTTTCTTTTTTGGGGCCATCTTCTCCTGTTCAAAGGTCCTGTGGATCGGTCCCTTAGTGGCTTTCCCTTTCTTATAGAATCCTTAATCCTTACCTGGGGTTACGCAAGGAACCGGTCCCTTTTGTAGTGGCTTTCCTATAGGGATTATGGAGAATCGGATTGGCCAAGCCTCCATTTTGAACCGCCCAGACTCATGTAGCACGACACCGAAACGAACTGGAGGCCATCGACTACAAGGGCCTGGAGTGTCCCGACGACACGCCCGCAGGCTGTGCCATCAGCGTGGCAGGCCGCGGTCAATGCGAACGGAGGACGTGTTGGGATTGGGTGAAAGGCTACCCCCCACTCCAAATACCGTTGGAAAAGCAGATTTCCAAAAATACCATGAAAAAAGCGGGTATTTTGAGAAGGGGGTAGGTTTTTAGTAGTGCCCCTTTACCATTTTTTTTGGTTGGGAGGGTTCCCCTACTGAATAGACTACCGAAAAAGGTTGGTACCCGTATTCTAATCTCTCTATTGGAGAACCTAGAAGGGGAATAAAAGGGGAAACTCTAGGGTTTCCTTACCCCCAGTACTGGAATGGTTGACCCAAGTCAGATGATGACAATCACAGATGGTTATATTGCTTGAATGGCGGGTTTGAGCTACAGTTGGAGATACAGCCCATGTTGGTTCCTGTTTAAGTACCTGGACCCTGAAACGACCCGTGCAAAGGCGAATGTTGCGCCAAAATGAGAGGTGAATTCCCAATTGTTAAGGGTAGTTTCCGGGGGCAGGGGTGTCAATAGGTAGTTGGATCTCCAACATCATGATGTTATTGGTGTTCTCCCTTGATCGCAAAAAAAAACAAACAGCTATCGACAAGCCCAAACAAAATGACACGCCGATGGAAAAACTTGATTGACTGCTGCCGTCACAGAGCCAGACTTGGCCGAGTAACAAAAGGTTGTCGAGGTGTAATACACATTTGCCAATATATGGGTGTGTTTTTAGGGGACCTTGCAAAAAAGGTGTTCTGCCAGTTGGTTTCCCTTTTAAGACACCAACATGGGATACCCCCAAAACAGACACAACCGGTTTTGCGGCCTGTTTCAGGTTTTGAGTTGACCCGTATGGGTAACTATTGTTCAAGGATGACGCTATCATCCCTACAATCGGCGCCTCAAGGGTTTGATTCGCCATTCGGTGGCACGCGCCCATTGTGACGCTGTCTGTTTTTTGTTTGTTTTTTCCTGGAAGAAGCAGCCTGGAAAGAAGGGAAAGCTTCCTTCCAATCAACCCACAACCAGAATCAGGGGACGTGTACGGGCACAGCCCCAACAAGAGACAGGTTTGGAGCTTGGCCCCTGTAAATGCTTAGGCTTTGTCATGTTTGGGTAGGTCCCCTGATTCAGGTTAGGTGCTGGTTTGGATTGGTGGCGTGGATTTTGCATTGAACCGTTTTGAACCCCTGGTTCTTGTAGAGCGCAAATGGATAACCACCCCGCAAACTCCAAGCCAGTTAGAGTGAAGCTGAAGTCCTTGATTAGCAGTAGTAAGGGAGCCGTCACCCTGCCCCACATCTTGGGACTGGGTGTGTGTCTTTTCTTGATGGTAGTCCGCTTGGGGTTGATGTAAAGGGGAACCAAGGTTCAGACACCTCACCCAATTTGGTATGTTTCTTTGACATGGCAATGCGGTCTACTCCAAAAACGATTTTGTGTATTAGGACAGACTCACGTAGATTCTGAACCTATGACTTTGTGAACCCCTTTTTGGGGGTCAAGCTAAAGACAACTCGATGTTAAATCCCCCAACATGCTGAAAGCTATGGAGTCTTGCCCAGATAGGCGACAAGTGGTGGTTTGGTTCTGGGCTGTTAGGGATACCATTTGGGCTTATCCGTTTTGTAGCCCAGAACCACTCTTCTAAACCAAGGGGAAACCGAGATTTGGTCCATAGTCAAGGGTACACCCATGGCTTTGCTTTCAACTACCACCCCACAATATTGTGCACATATGGGTGTGTCTTTTCTTGAGGGTGCCCATCTTTGGTAGTTTTAACAAGAACCGATAGGAAGAATCATTTTTGGGGGGTTCCTTAAAAATACACACGCAGTACAAATATGTCAGAATGAGAAACCGCCCAAAAGAGATGTCATTTCCCTTTGATTTTCATTTTAAGCCACAAAACCAGACACACCCAATGCCCGCATGTTTCAGGATATATGTTCAAGAACTAGGTTTGCCATGGCACATACCTCCTTTCTGAGTAAAGGGTGGACGGGCGGACATCATACCCCATACCCTGAAAAAACAGGCGAGTATTGGAGAATTACGGGGGTAGTAAAAGAGGCTAATTACCCCACAACTGCATTCTAATTGATTGGCCCATGTGTGGTGTGCCATTTTCATTTTAAGCCACCCCAAGGCTATCCAGCAAAAGGAACCGCACCCATCCGAAGGCTTTTGTTCTTGAAATACGACCCCAAGTCATAAACCTGAGTAAAACCGAAGACATTGTTCCCCGGGCAAATCCAATGGGCGGGTGTCCAGAAAAGGAAACCCCGCATGTGTGTGTGTGTGTGTGTCACAGCAATTAGCGAATTACCCCCCCCCCCCCCAGCGTCCCTCCCCCCAAAAATGAATGAGTAAATAAATAAATAAATAAATAATTCAATAAGTAAATATAACATAAACAAATAAGCAAACAACATAAACAATGGTTTCGGTGTCCTTTTGCTCTCCCTTTAAGCCACCCCCCTTTAAAAGGCCACCCTTGAAACCGGAACCTCAAAAACCAAGCTTCAATATCTCAGCCTCTGGTCTCCCCTCAAAAAATCCCTTGGGGTATTACCCACCCGTTTTTTTTCTTACATAAATATTTATTTATTTATAGATTTATGTATTTATGTATTTATTTATTTATTTATTTATGTTTGTTTAAACAAAACAGAATATTCAAACCACAAAATAGCCGCATTGGAGTCCCTAAGTCAGGAAGGTAGGAGCAGGAGCTTAGAGTTTAGAGCCCGCTTCGGGTCCGTAGAGTTCACGACACGGGGTTCCTCTCAGGGAGCCTTCGGGACCCCCCGCGTTTAGGGCCACGTCCCCCTCAGCCAAGTTGGCAAGCCGTTTGCCGGAGCAGAAGCCGCTTGCAAGGTTGTCCCTCTCCCTTTCTCACTCCCTGAGTTCCTGGACTTTGGTGTTCCTCGGAGTTTTCTTTAGGGTTCCCTCAGGGTTCCTTACCGTTTTTTTAGGGATTCCTTGGGGTACTGCCGGGTTCTTTAAGGGACCCCCCCCTTTGGATTACTTTCCTTACTTCACGCTGGTGCTCGGTAGGCCTTTGAGAAATGCGGACAAACACTCCAAGCCCCTGTCCTTGGATCCAAATGGTGGTTTCGGGACTTGGGGTCACTTCCTTGGGAGCGTCCCTTAGGCACACACACACACACCCTTTTTGGTTGGGACCACCCCCCCCAACCCCACCCGAATTCCAAGCGACTCGAAGGCTTCCCCCCCCCTCTCACTTTTTGGTTCCTGGATTGTTTGGTTTTTGGGTTCCTTAGAATTCCACCACGTGTCCTTACCAGGACCCCCCCCCCCCCCCCGCCCCCTCCTACCCCTCCTACCCCTCCTACCCCTCCTACCCCTCCTACCCCTCCTACCCGCGAAGCGCAGGCTTCGTGACGTCGCTGTCCTGGGTGGCCTCCTACCTGGCCCTGGCCTCCTCCAGCTGCTCCCAGGCCGTGAACCCGGACGCCCTCTGCGTGGCCGACTGGACGGCCCTCATGGCCGACTTCGGGGAGGTGGGCGCGCGGAGAGGTTGGGAGGTTCGCAGTTTGGTCCAGTGCCCCTCCTGAACCCCTTTTTTTGGGGAAGGGTTCCCCTACTAAAATAGACTACAGACAAAAGGGTACCCTTATAAGTGGCTAAGTGGCTTCCTGGTGGCTGAGTGGCTGAGTGGCTTTCCCACTGGCTCATTGGCTGGGTGGCTGCGTGGCAAAATTGACCCAGCTCGACCAGGTGCGACTGCGACAGTCGCACCTGGCCGCGCCCCCTCAAATAGAATCTCCACATAACACATCATTTTACTGTAGGACCCGAGTTACGGTCTTCTGTTTTCTTCGGCAAATGAGGTCTTTTTCCGGACCCAAAAAGCGTTCCAAACGCCAATTTCCGAGTAAGTAAACAGCAGAAATCTATGCCAGGCCCCCCCGATGGCCGGTAATTGGCGTCCCGGGTGAAGTGCCGGCAATTGGCCAGCACTTGCTTAAAAATGGTTTTGTAGTCACATAGTTTCTTTTTGCCATTATCAAAGTGCAGTGAAAAGTCACTTTTTGTTGAAACGTCACTTCAGGATACTAGAGGGGATCCAATTGAGGGGTTGGGCTGGCATGTATGATCATTGCACATGCAACGCGCAGGGGGGGAGGGGGGGCGACACGCTGGTGACACGCTCATCTCCCAAAAAAGTGACCGTTCAACGTACATGTGCCGGCAATTGGCCACCCCCCGACACGCCGTGACACGCCGTGACACGCTCCTCAAGAACCCCTCCCAACCTCAAACTTGCCCTCCAAACCTCAAATTTGCTGCTCTCCCCTTTCCCCTGCAACCCCATTCCAAAGGACCCTGAAAGGTCACTTCTATCATTGCACAAATTGCACTGAGTACAGATGAGTGATACTTGATAGCAAATTGCTTTTGCAGTCACTTAGACAAAAAGTGACATCGTTTTGCCCAAAATCGATGTGCCGGCAATTGGCCAGCCATTGGGGGGTGCTGGTGACGGTTTTTTGATTTTGTACAGTGCTGTAATGAATTTGAGGTGGTGCTAAAGGCCTCCCCGTAGTACCCAAACTCAAACGCACGCATGTTTGTGATGTCATCCCCTGACTTACAAAGGAGGACCACCATGGAAGTCCGGGTGCTTCAGTGGACTACCAACTGCAAAAAAGCACACGCCGGCTATTTGGAGCTTTCGGGGGGAAAGAGGCTTTTTATTGGCAACGGCCCTTGTGGGGTTCCTTTGGCTTCTGATTCGATTCAACATAAATACCAAGAAGCCATGTTTTTGTCCCATGGTTGTAAAGTGGTGCGAGCGGATTTCTCAACCATGCACAGTATCGGGCAGTAATTACCAACAACCAATGCTTTTTTCAATGGTTTCAACGTGGTGCCAACGGATTTCGCAACCGTCCACAGTATCGGGCATAGAACCTGAGGGTATGGCTAACCAGTTAAGGGGATAGTTCTCCGCTCCGATCGGAAGGTTGCCACCAGCGGGGCCGGCGTTCAGAGGCGCGGAGCGTAAACTGCGTTTTGAGGGCTGACACGTAGGCGATGGCTTGAGGTTCTTTCTTGAATGTTTGTATGCTTGTATGTTTTGAAACAACGGGATTCTCCGCTAAAGCCTTCCTTTTTTTCAGGGGTTGTCCTTAGAAAGCTAAGTGTTCAGTAACACTGGTTGAGGCAGGGGGGAGGATTTGAAAACTGCCTTTGGTTTGGCGCGCGGAGTGTGTGAGGCAGAAACATAGTCTCACTTGCTCAAGGACTGTATACTTTTTGGGAAGACCATAAATGAAAAAAACAAACAAATGGACTTGTTTTCGGCCATCCACTCGGGAAGTGACTGTTTGTTCGTTATTTTTTTCTTGTTACGCATGACAGGTTGGTTTGGTTCGTTGTGACATGCACATGTTCACATTTTTCGGGCTCATCACTTGGGCAAGCGGAACGAAGATGTGCCGTTGCTTTCCTTCAAGGCCCCGTTTCTACCTTTGGCCATGCAAATTCTCGTCACAATGGCAACCAAGCACTAGCAGTGTTGACGTGCTCGCTGGCCCATGTCTTGTATGCCACTGGATCCTGAAGTGAAGCAACACTCACTGGGAGCTGAGTCCAACTCCCCTCGTTTGTGTTTCCTGCTTGACGCCCCCTTGTCGTTTGCCCCCCTGTGTTCTTTGTTATCACCTTTGTTCCCCTCTCTATGCGGCTATGGATTTCAATGGGGAACCATGAAATAATTTCAATGGGGAACATTCAAAGTGGTTGGACATGCATCCCCACCGAATGTTGATATCCACCAAAGAGAACAAATCACACCTGAATGAGTTTGTCTCAAAGCAATCGGAACCCTTAATTGGTGTCCTTCAGGTTTGCCTTTGCAACTCGCTTTTCGGGTTCCTTTTGCGACGTTAGTCACTTTTTGGGTTTGTCTGGCCATTTTAGTGGACAACAAGGTTTGGTTGCCTCGACTCACCAATCCGCTCGGGTCGGGTCTGGGCTGGGATTTGCAGCCCAGTTGCTCCGGGTGTGCCTCGTGGATTGGAAACGGAGCGAGGGGACACTCAGGGATGCGAACCTCGTTTTTTTGTTCCAACCGCACAAGTTCAGGGGAACACAGAAACACAACGATTTTCTGATGTTTCAGAATCTAAGTCTTAAGTCTAACCCGAAAACCATGAGAATTGTGGAGGAGGAGTCCAGTATTATATCAGAAGGTACATCATGGTCTCAACTAAACGATCCGGAGGGCCCCCTTGGTGGAGCCTCTGGTCTGTGCGAACCAGGTGGGAGAGCCTTCTCACAGAAGCTCGAAGCCACATTTCCATCCCAGTTTGTGTGGCCCTATCCCCTCTGGTTTAGTGGGTTTCCAACTAAACATGACCAAAATCATCTTCTTTCTTGGGCTTCCCTCTAAGAAAGGTCAAGACTACCCGACTTCCCTCCAACATGGAACCTGAGAGAGGTCCGGGACCATGCTCATTTCCCTGGCGGGACCATGCCCGGGTTCTGCGAAAATCCACAGGCACTGCGACTTCAAGGGCCGCATCAGCGGCCTGCTGCTGCACCTCGACCGCGACGAGGCGCGAGAAGTCGAAGTCTCCCTTCGAGGGGTTGCAAGCGGGGAAGGGGGGGAGGTTCCCTTGCTAGGTTCCCCAGAGGTGACCTTCAAATAGCGGGTATGAGCAGGGGGTCGATTCTTTTGGGCCAGAAAGTGAGGGGTCCAGTTCCCCAAGTTCACCGTAGTGCCAACTTTTACCAACTTTTTGAGGGGGAGATTCGGTTCCCCTACTAAATAGACTACAGAAAAAGTTGATACCCTTACTCTAACCTCTCCACTGGAGGACCTAGTCAGGAACGCCAAGGAGTTCTAGGGAAGCCTAAGGAGTTTGATAGTACCTAAATGGGTTGATCAAATAATGATACCCAACGATTGGCACGGAAGACTTTCGTCTGCAGTTTGACATGCCTCTTTTAGTGTGAGCCACGCCCAAATGGCTGTGCCTTTGTTTGAGGGACCTTTTCAAAAATATGTATACATACCTAGAGTCTCCATGACCCCTAGAAAAAGGGGTCATAACTAGTCATAACCCCTTAATTTTGGGTTATGACCCCATTTTCAAAGGGTCATGGAGACCCTAGATATATAATTGTTATTATTATTAGTAGTATATATATATATATATTATATATATATATATGTATTGTCCCATTTTGTGTGTGGGCCAATAGGGAGGATGTGCCAAACACGGTTTGGAGCGATTTCAACTCGGGTGAGCTGATCCGACCCTTTGGATTCGGATCCAATTCTTATCCAGGAAGTCCGCGTGGCCCCATTTCAGCCTGCAACAGGACTCCTACTGATGGTTGCGAAATCTGTTCGCACCACGAAATGAAACCATGGTTGAATCAATTAATTATTTACAGGGGAATCATCATTTCAGGGTTTCCTGGATGGTGCAGGATTTCGGCCATCCTAGGACAAAGCAGTTGGTTTTCCCAGCAACTTAGTTGAACCAGGTCTGAAGTATAGCAAAACACGTGCATGTTTTCAGGGTAGAAGTTTGAGTCCACGCAGCAGATCCCTTTTTTTGTTTTGTTTGTCGCGGTGCCAAAGGATGATCACCTGTCATTTCCAGGTGCCTAAGGAGCAAGTATATAAGTCTACCTTTGGGAAGTATCGCATTTGTTCGCAGATGTTCGGGTCCACGTTGGCGTGGATACGATTTTTCCTCGAAATGGTAGACAGAATTAACCCCTCCTCCTTTTGGTTCCTTCCAAATGAGACGAGGCCGTCAGAAAGGGGAGGGGTTAGTTGCAGGGTTAGATCCGAAATCGGAGAAAGGATCAGAAGCGCCTAGGGACTATTGTGGGCTCAGAACCGAGGCTGGACGCGTATTTTTGGCTTTGCGTCCTCATCTTTGTCGGTGCTTGGTTTGTAGAAAGCTCGTTCGGCATCCAGATGACATCCCGGCACAGTGGATATCAGCTGCATCCAAACGTTTTGACCAAATGTGGCTGTGTGCAAGACGTAGGGCACTTCCCCGGCAAAGGACGTGTTTTAACGTTTCCCTAGGCAAGCTTGCGGCATTGTCTTAAAGCCGGGGTTCTGCACTTATAAAGTGATCGCCCTCCAAGGGAGGGCTAGCTGGATAGCCTAGGCCAAGGAGAAGCGGCCTTTTGAAGGGTTTTATAGGGGATAGCTCGGACAGCTCGCCCCCATAGCCCGCTGGATGTCAAAAGGCAAGACTCTGAGCACCGCAAAGGACCCCAAAAGAACAAGGCTTCAGCGGGTTTGGGGGTACAGACAACAAAGGACCACTTTGGGAACCAAATCATTCTGAAGCCAAACCCTACCAGTTGTCCGACTGAATCAACCGATCGAACTGACCGTTTGGGGCTTTCCTATTTGGCAACCATTGACTAGGTCCCCCAGCTAGGTGCCCATTTTAACCCCTTTTTTGGTTGGGAGGGTTCCCCTACAAAAATAGACTACAGAAAAAAACAAAGAACAAAAAAACAATCGGGCACCCTTATTCTAACCTCTGCAATCTGGAGGCCCTTACATCGAACATTCCGCGGGCTCAAGCCGGCGTTTTTGTTTTTCTTTCTTCGGGATAGGCGAGGCACCCCTACTGGCACCGCTTCATCCCGGCGGCCTCCGGCCCCGTGAACACGGCGATCGACATCCACCGGAAGCACCATGCGCCTCCGTCGATGCGGAGTTTCCGGTTGCTTCCATGTGCTTAAGCATGGTGTCCAGGGTCTTGGGCTCCTAGGGTATGTTATTCTGTTCATTTTCATGGGAATCGACTGGACCATTTGCTCCAGGGGACTCCCCGTTTCGTGTGACCGAAATGAGCTGGAACTGTGCCATCCACTCTCACCCAACTGTAAAAGGGTCACCCTGTTTTGGGGTGCTCAAGGGAAATCCATGACAAAGTCCATTCGTGGGGTTTCCCTTCGAGACAAACCCTTTGCTCACATGGAAGTGCATATCTTGTCCCTAGAAATATGTGGCCCATATCTCACTCCCCAAGGATCTGGAGTGTATCAAACATATTGCCGCACTCACCCAATGCCCGTTTTTTGTTTCTTCTTCTTTTTTCCCAGTTTTCAGGGTATGAATTGTCAACCCCTGACTCGCAGAGGAGGCAAGTTGTCCGACAACAAAAACAACCTTCAAAGAGGTGACCTTCAAATAGCGGGTAGCAGGGGGTCGATTCTTTTGGGCATGCAGAAAGTGAGGGGTCCAGTTCCCCAAGTTCTTTCCAGGTCCGCCAGTGCCAACTTTTGCCGTAACTTTTTGTGGGGGAGATTCGGTTCCCCTACTAAAATTGACGTCCAGAAAAAAAGTTGGTACCCTTATATTCTAACCTCTGAAATCTGGACCTAGCTTCAAATAGCGGGTGTGAGGAACTTGTCGCACCTTTGGGGCTTGCAGAAAGCGAGGGGTCCAGTCGACTTCCCCAAGTGGATTCCACTTGTCCCTTCGTTTGGTGCGTTCAAACAACTGAAGATCGTCACCAAACGCTTGCCCCACGAGTCGGCCTGAAAGGACCTTTTGGTTTTCCCTTTTTGGCTTTCCCATTTTTAGTCGACGGTCCAAAAGGTTAACCATTTTGATTGGTCCTTTGGGCAACTGAGAAAAAGTGTTCCTTTTTTACAACAAGGGTCACTATCCAACTGGGTGATATATAGTAGGTAACACCATGTTTGGCCGCCCAAAGAGGGGTATCTGCTCAGGCTAAAAGTTGTCAACTTTTAGAGGGGGATCTGGAAATGGGCAGCCCAGCATTTTTGATTTCACATTTGTGGGTTGATTCAATAAGCAGAGTCTGGAGATGTTTCGCTCCAGCTTCGGGCCAAAAAGGGGCGGTCCAGAGGCCAACCCTGAGGGTGGGCGGGTTATGACCTTGAACCTGTAATCAGGGCCCAAGTTTACAGCTTTGCCAACCGCACCCAACATGATGTGAGGTACCCGTTTTCTTTTGGGGGGGTTTCAAACTGAAACCAAAAGGACGAGGGTCCCGACAACCCCCATCTGTGGCATCTTTGTAGTAGGGAAACAGGGGAACCAGCCTTTAAAACCCAAAAGGAAAATAGCTGGTTGCCCAGGCAACAAAAATCCAGGGGTGAGAATTGAATTCGAGATTGAAGTACTGGAACATTTTGGTAGAGTTATATGTATATATATATATATATACATAAATACATACATATATATATATATATATACATACATACACATACATCATGTCCTCTTACCCCAGATGTAGACCAATATTTGTTTTGGTTGAAAACCCTATGTGGGTCCCCAGATGTAGGAGTTACAAACTTGAGGGACTCAAACCGGCGGGATGGTCATCCACATAGCGCTTGCCCTAGGGTTCCGCTTCGCCCATGAAAATAATGGCAACCAAGAGGACCCGATTTGGATGCTGACTCAACCCAAGAACTTTTTCTTTTTTTTTGGCGGTTATACTAGCCAAACCTCTGTTTTGCAGGCGGGGGGTGGTTGTTTTTTGTTTCCCCATGTTCTCGTTGAAAGCAACCAAAGATGACCAAGGCTCCCATTTCTCATCAAAGGCGCCTCTTTTTTTGCTTTTACCACGGTACGCTGAAGGAAAATGGGTTAAAAAGGAAGATGGAAAACCACCTGTTTTGGGGGGCTTCAGAAAATGTTGCGAGCCCTTTTGGCCTTTCACGCGCTCAGTACGACCAGATGCGCAGCTTCGACATCGCGCAATGCGTCTTTGATGTTACGAATGCCGTGCCCGAGCTGCACTGATGCAACACCTGGGGTTCAGTTACCACCATTAAAACAATGGGTGGGTTAATACTGTGGATGGACGAAATCCAAGTTGAATCACGTTTGTTGGTATTTGCAGGTGGTGCAAGGATTTGTCCACCCACTGTATAACCACCTTTGTTTACACAAGGATTGTCATCATCTAATTTGGTTCCTGGCCATTCTTTTCAAGAGGGCAAGGAACCCTATATGGTTGCGTGTGAGGTTGCGGATAAGCTAGGCTTCGCAATGTAGAGAATCCCTTTGCTTGGTCCTGGGCATGGAAACTGCTGGTTTCAGGTAACAATTAATTGCTGGTCTGGATTGGTTGCTTGGGGAATTGAATCTCTGGTTCCCCTATCCCACACACACACAATCAGCCAGGGACACCCAGCCGGCTTCGGGTCCCAAAAATTGGCCAAAATGCATCATTGCCACTTCTGGAACAGGGGGTAGAAGGGAAGCCATCCCCCTAACCACTGCATCACCAATCCAAACCACTCGCTTACTCACTCAAGTTCGCACGGGGCCTTTGTGGGCGCAGCTGGTTCATTGGGAGGGGGATCAGGCCCAAATTCGGCAACTCAATCCAAACCACGAAATCAAAGCTACCCGGTTTGGGTTGGTTTACAGGGAAACCACCCGAGAAACCGCACACCACCATGTCCGGGCTCCGTTGTCCGCGAAGGCTCCAAATTGCGAAGCCGCCAAACCACCCATTCGGCTCCAAACCACGTGGAAGAAAGCCGGTGGTGGCCGCTTGAAGCGAGGACTTCGCAAGTGATCAAGTGGAGATGTATCACCTCACTCACCTCGCTTCCTGAGTTCCGTTTCGGACAAAAACGCTTTTTCGGAAGACCATCTTGGTGGATGAGCAGTTTTTCAGGGGCGTTGTTTTGTTCTTTTTCTTAGGACCTCATTTTAGTGGTAAACACAAGTTTGGATTTGTTTGTGCCTTCTACTCAGACAGAAGGTGCAAACATGTGCCACACCAATGATCTGGACCTAGGCGACTGCAATACATACATTGTATTGCATTACATTCACATATGCATTGCATTCACATATGCATCGTGCATCTACATTTATGTTACATTTGCCAATGCATACATATATATATATAGCATTTATGTACGTATGCATGTATGCATTTATGTATGTACGTATGCATGTATGCATGCATGCCCGCAATGGTATGGCTAGAATGGGATTCATTTGGGGTGTCCTAGAATTCGGCACCCTTGCAAATGGTTGGTTTACCTATTTACCCTTGTTACCCTTCTGCAAACAGCCAAACAGGGGCTTCTTATTTTTGAACACACCACATATGGACTTACTTTCGTTTCAATGAGATTTGATGTGTGTGTTCACATGAATCACAGAGGTATTTGTCACACCACCTTGGTCAAGTTGCTCGTAACCTTGGTCATCACAAGCTTTTTAAGTCTTATGCCCCGAACAGCGATCCCCACTTACAAACTAGGCGAATCGAAGCTCCAAGTAGGGTGCCTTCCAGGTCTTGCAATCTAAGGGTTTTTGTGTTATATTCTGGGAATACACCCACTGGGTATTGACCCCATTTAGGCACATTTCCGAACAGGTGTGTTGAACCATTCTGGGCCATTGCCCAAGGGTGTAATCCCAGTAATACAAAAACCCTCAAAATCTGGGTCCCTTGTCGCGTTCTCCTTTCTGGGTCATTTCCCAAGGGTGTAATCCCAGTAGTACAAAAACAGATTCAGATGCAAGTCCCTTGTCGCGTTTTTCGTGCTAGGCGGCCTTCCTGGTGCGTGCCACCATCCAAATCAGAACTGCCACGCTGGGCTGCCCCGATCCCAGGAGCCCAGGGGACCGAAGCAAGCAATACGGTGGGATGGTTGCGAATTCCATTTCGCACCACCGCTCAGAAACCCAAAGGAATGATTCGATTCACCCATAAATACCAAATTAGTTTCAACCATGGTTTTACAGCGGTGCAGGATTTTCTCCACCCACAGTAGGGTGCATTTTGCAGCCGGCCAGGGGCTTTAGGAAACAAAGAAGTACTCTAAATGAGGGGCCTGCAAGATGGGGTGTTTGTTTTTAAGGGATGTGCCTTGTTGGAAGTTGAAAGGGGTTTACAGGCACAGAACCCATTTACAAGTTACAGGCAAGAAACCCACGGCGCTTGGTTTTGCACCTAAAACAAAGTGCCTTGGATTGTGTCTTGTCCTTTTTTTAAGGGGTTTTGCAGAGGACTTAAAAGGAAACAGTTCGGAGCAATGAGTGCCCCAGATTGATTGCGGGGTCGACACTCCCGGCATGGGTTGGCCCGCAGGTGACCCCAAAAAGGGGCCGCGGGGGCACGTCCGTGTTTCTGGGACCTGGAAATTCGTGTCATGCGGTGACTCAAGGACTCAAGGGTCAGGACATGCTTCCCCAACCCCCTCCCCCAAATCAGCTACCAAACGCCAGCTTTGAGGGCAGTGTTTTGGTCACACGCGTGGCTCGCCACCTTTCGAACACGCCGCACGCCGCGCGTTACTCCAAATGGCCGTGTCTTGTTTTAGTCCCAAAATGCCGGGTGAAACCTGTTGGTTTCCCTTGAAACCCGCCCAAAGGGTTCCCTCAAAAGAAAGACGCGCCCAATTTTTTTGGTGCCACACCTCACCCCAGCAGGGCCTCAGGGTCCGGCCGAGTAGCCTGCCCGAAACAGACTTCAGCCAGGGATCTCTTAAAGGGGCTTGCAAAACCAACCCAAACGCCCATACTCTTGAAAACGTTTTTTTTAGATGAAAAAAAAATGAGCTTTGGAGGGCGGTTGGTTTTTTTGGAACCCCACCAGGTTTGGAGGGCAAGTTTGGTAGAAAATGATTGGACAGGGTGTTTTGTGCAGTCCTTGTTTTTTCTTTGTTTTTCTTCTTTATATACATGACATACCCTTGGATACTGTTGTCTTCTTCTATTTTTATTACATACTTTTAACCAAAGCCAGAGAGTCTCATTGTGTTTGAATTACCATAATCTCGAGATAGTGTTTTGGTTAAAGCCCCTGATGCTTTACAGTGCTTTGGATTTCCCCCTGTGAGGGTTTCGTTTCGCAGGGCCTGCACCATCGACATCATGGATGTGATCTCCTCGTTCTCCTGGATCGCACGATTCGTGCCACCTGGCAACCAAAGCAGAGTTACTACTCCAAATACCTATTTGTTAAGGGTATGTCGTGAAGAACCTGGTTTTCCGTGGTAACTGAAGAACCATCATACCCCTCAAAAAGTTGATGTTTTTGTGTAGGGGTACCAAAGTGGAGCAAAATAGATTTAAGCAAGTAGACATCAGTCCCCCTCGAAGGAAAACCTAAGGGAGATATTCTTCAAACAACTCTTGTTCAAACATGCATTCTTTTGGTCGTTGCGAGCTCTGGGACGAAGCCTCCAGGGAGCCCCTCTATGGGGTCTTTCTTTTGGGAACCCGCTTCTGGTTCGTCAAAGTGAAACGAAAGGCAAACTGTCGCCATTTTGTGGGGTTCTCTAGTAGTTTGAGGTATATGTATGTATTGCCTGGTTGAGGTGTAGGCCGCTACAGTGGCAGCTGGCCTCATGTGTGGCTTAGAATTGGAAAAATGCTCTCGTTTCTTGCCATGCTCTTATGAAAAATGAAGATTCACCTTCACAAGATTTCCACAGTGACAACTCTAGGGGTTGATTCCCCATTCTTTTGAACCATCGTTCTTTAAAAAAACCGATCGCTGTTTTCCCAGGCTTGGCGGTTTTCTAGAAAGACTCGGATCCCTGGAAAGAATGGAACTGGAAGCTATCCCTAGAACAACGCCAGGTCCCCCAGTAGTGCCAACTTTTACCAACTTCTTTGGGGGAAAATGCCATACGACAATTTAGCCGTCCAGAAAAGAATCGGGTACCCTTATTCTAACCCCTCTGGAGGACCTAGTTACCCATTTGTTTCGGGGCCCTAAAGAGTCTTCTGCTCCCCTGAGCAAGCGAACACGCGGCCGGAGTCGGCGGCCTGCCTCGCTGATTCTAAGCCTGCGGCACTGGCTGTGCGGAGGCCTTAAGGGATTAAAGGTGACAGCCTTTTCCTTGGCATAATGCTGGAGGTCCATAGGTCGAGCTTGCATCACATCTGACAAAACAACTCTGGGACCCACTGCAAAGGCGACGCGAAATCTATGGGTTTCGGCCATTGCACAAATGTGTGTGTGTGTGTGTGTGTGTGTGTGTGTGTGTGTGTGTGTGTGTGTGTGTGTGTGTGTGTGTGTGTGTGTGTGTGTGTGTGTGTGTGTGTGCGTGTGCGTGTGCGTGTGTGTGTGTGTGTCTTTTTTCAGGGGACCCCTCCAAAATGGTGGCTGTCCTGTTGGTTTTCATTTAAAGCGAGAAACGGGTACCCCGCAAAAGCATACAGACCCAAATGGATTACTTTTGAAAACCCGGTACATTGGAAGTCGCGCAGGGACCCACGTAAATGTCAGGTTCCCGGCAAGTTCCCGCAAAACCGGGCTGGTCCTGGGTACAGCTTCACATTGAGCTCGTGATTTTGAGAGACATTTCTCTACGCTCGAGGCGGTGTTTTGAATTGATCGCCCCTTTTTGGTTGTGTTTAGACGACTTGGGTCGATCCCAACTTACTCCCTGGGTTCCGTTTCGGACTTCATATTGGGTTTGGATCATTTGAGTGGTAAACAGAAAGTTGTGCTACTTTTTCGGCCAAGCCACTCAGGAAGTGTGCCAAGACGGTTGTATTGGGGCCGAATATGAAATAGAAACAGGACCAATTGTCGCACTCTTTCAGCACTTGCTTAGATGTCAAAGGGGCAAGTCACAGCATCAAACATAAACCCACCCCCTTGCTCTAAATACCAGATTTTTAAAGGGCACTATTTCAAAAAAGGAAAACAAGAACATGTTTTCGGAAAATAACATCCTTTTTTCGTCAGCGTATTTTGAGGCACCTAGCATTGTCCACGGTAAATCGCCCCCTTTTTTAAGTCAGCGCTTGGTACCTTACCCGGGTGAACGAGACTGTCCGGCTGCCGGGTTTTTGGAGGTCGGACGCTGCGTCAGACTGCGCGGTGCGGGGCAGCTTGAAGGCGACGCGTGGCGAGTTCTCGTTACGTTCACCGATCTGCCGAGAGTCTCCTTCTGACCGCGATCATAACCCCTGAATTTTGGGTAAATAACCAACCATGTTTCAAGGGTCATTGAGACTCCAGGTGGCGACGCGTTTCACTTGTTTGAGGCTTTGGTTTGCATCCCTGTGAGCACACCTAGCTGTTCGATTGTATTCTGAATGGGGCTCAACAACCGATCCAGTATTGTTAATTTCTCAGTTGTTCAGTGGCTCCCTTTTCCTTTTTTTTGGGTGGCTGCCCCACTAAAATGGTCCAAGCCCAAAACAGGGTTTCCTTTTTTTCCAGGGTCACTGAACAACTGAGGTATTGTTAATTTGTTTGAAGGAGATCAAACGGGGGATTGATCGCTGAGCTGTGAGTCCCAATCTACCCTTTTGGGGACAGGTCGATATAGGGGCGTCCTGTTTTGGAGGTAAACCGGTAAACCTTTTTTTCTTGGCTGTCAGCCATCCGCTTCAACTTAGCATTTTAGATCTTTTTAGTTGGTTTAGTTAACAAAAAAAAAAAAACACTGCACGTTTTGCCGTGCGGGTGTTGGTGGGGATGTGTTTGTGAATTGGAGCTGTACAACTACATCCCTGTGAGCGCCCCTTCTGAAGTTTTATGAGTCCAGGGTCGACATTAGTCCCAGCTCACATCTGCAAGTCTTGCGCCACTCAAATTCGTATGCTTCCATTTGGTTAAGAATACTTTTTATTTTCCCCTGTTGGTTTTAAAGGGAATCCATCACTACTTGACATAGTTTTATTTTTTTCCGAATGGAGGAATAGTGGCTTCTAAAATTAGAGTTGATCGTTCCAGGGAGCAAAGGTTGACTTTGTTTTTTTCTCCAGGGTTTCTGAACGGTGGTGGTGCAGGCCACTCGATGAATATTTTGGTTTGGGACAATCACTCCTTGTTGTTCCCCTTGTTTTTCTGTGTGCTTCTCTCGAAGTTTTTATGGCCTCATGTTCGACCCCAAGCTCCAGCCCGCTTGGGTTCTTGGGTGTTGAAGCACCTGGCTTCTCATGGTGGACCAGTTTTAGTCAGTTGACAAGTCATTGCCTCCCTGAAAGGAGTGGCTGGGAAGTAAATTGCGCTTGGGGTCAGGGCAGCCCTGTGATTCAGGTAGAGTTGGCTAACCAGACAATTCACTGATATGTGTTGGGGATGTTCAATGGGTAGTTTGAGGGTCTAGGTACCCAAAGGACCCGCAAACCAGCCACAAAAACCAAGAAAATAGTCTACTATGTGTTGGGCAAAAACTAATTTCAACGGGTGTTTTGAGGGTCCAGGTACCCAAAATGGACTGTTCGTTTGATCCGCTACTAGCTGTTTGAATGGATTTTGGATGGGGCTCAAAAACCGATCCAGTATCGTTACTTTATCTGAAGGAGATCGAACGGGGATTGATAGCTGAGTTGTGCAGAGTCCCAATCTACTCACTCTCCCTTTCTAAGGTTTTGGTTTGCAACTTTTATTAGTCCAGGGTCGACATTAGAGCCCAGATCACATGTGCAAGTCTTGTTGCCAATCAAATTCTGGTTTCTAAAACAAGAGCTGATTTTCCCCAAGAGCAAGGAGTGAATTCGGCAGTTTCCCGGAAATATGATTGTTTGTTTGGGGCAAGCACTCCTTGTTTTTCTGTGTGGTTCCCTCGAACAATGAGTTCTATGGCGGCCCTGGAACAATTCAGCCAGTTCTAGAGTCTCTTTGAGCAACAGTTGTTGGTCTGGTCAACCAGCAGTGCTTGATGGTTACTCACGTGCAAATTACCATCCTAAGAAAACCTGCAATGATTGGATTCCCCTGAAATACACTAGGGTTCCTTGCCCCCGTTAAAAGAATGGCAAGGACCCAATTTTGATGATGACAATTTTGAGCGGTAGATACAAAGGTGGTTATATTAACACAACCCATTGATTGAATTTGGTTTGAACCCCTTTGTTGGGAGTCAATTTGCAAGGACGTATTCCCCTATATAAAATTAAGTCTACATTTGTCGCTCTGGTTCTCCTGGAAGCTCTTCTTTAGCTCGGTGTGGAAAAACCCATGGGACATTTGGTGTAGCTACAGCGAAGCCTAAAGACTTCTTTCAAGCCGGATTCTGCCCCTTAAAGCGACCCCAGGTGTTTTTTGAAACGGGAAACCTTCCGGCTGCTTCAAACCGAAAGGCGACAAAAAACCCCTTAAGGCAAACCCAGGTTGTATTTCAACCTAACATAGTTAATATCGCCGGATTGCCATTATCTAAATTGGGTGCCAAGGCCATTCTTTTAGCGGGGGCCGAATCGGAACACTACAATTCTGGTGGCTGAAAGAAAACCCACCGCCAACACGCGTTCATTCTTCCTCACGCCTCTGGCCTCCGGGGAAGAACAAGCGGCACGTCCGCGTGCGCGATCGATCCTTGCGCGCGATTTGGAGGCGAAGTGCGCGGGGGATATCTCGAACCTGGTGGCGGCGGTGGCGAACGGCCCTGCCTCAGGCCTTGCCACCACCTCGGAGCCTCGAGTGAAATTAAGTCCAGTCGGGGCGATGGGCGGCTGTTGGGTGTGTGGGTATGTATATATATATATATACATGTGTATATGCATATATATATATATATTCACAGATAGAGTCTCCATGACCCCTGGAAAAAGGGGTCATAACCTCTTAAGTTTGAGTGATGACCGCATTTTTAGATGGTCATGGAGACTCCAGGTATATATTTGTATATTATATATATATGTGTATATATATATATATATATATATTTGTGCGTGTGCCAAAGGGGCGCCTGACGAAATTTGATTCCGATTGTCCTTTTGACTGGCCTGCAAACCAACCTGAAAGGGCTACCCTCAAACATTACACAGCAATGTTCCCCTTTTCAGCACCCCCCCAACTACTGTTTTTTGCACGACAGAACTTGGGTTTTTCGACATGGGTAAAAGCAGTTAATTGGGGGGGGGGTCTAGTAGGTGCTTTGGGGTGCTGGTAGGTGCACAAGCCCAAAATGGGCCAGATGTCCGCAAAACTCCCCGTTCCGTCCGGCCTTTTAGTTCGCGTCGTGCACATGAGCGACCGCGTGTGATTTGTGTGTTTTCTTCGGCACGCGTGCAGAAAGCACTGACTTTTTGCCCGACTTTGTACCCACTGAAGTTCCGAAGTGGAAACAACTGGGTGGCAGCCGTCCCTTGGGCGGCCGGAGTGTAGAGCACAAAAGGTATGCCCTACCTCATGTCAACCTGGAGCCTCCGTGACCCGAAACAAAAATGGGGTCATGACCCCATGAATTTGGGTGATCCCATTGTTAAGGGGTCATGGAGACTCCAGGTACAGAGTAATCTGGAGGATTGGAAGGGGTGGTTTCCCTTAGTGAGCAAAATGTGCTGGGTTCCTCTGGCTCTTGGTGGGGTCCGCCGGATCAATTCGAAGTTCACATTAGGCTACTTGAGGGATTTACGAAACAGGGTTCTTCACCGAAGCCGATGGGTGTATGTCTTCTACATGCCCAGCATTTGGATACTCGGATACTCTTTTGAGGGTACCCCATCGTGGGGGTTGGATGACAGAAGCATGCAGTAGCAAGTGGTCAACCCCAGTTGCTGTAAGTCCCTCACGCGAATTATATGTGCAGGGCAAGTCCTTCATTGTGGACTGACCAGATAAGGTTTTCAGCCACTTAAGCAGCTAAAGCTTAGGCTATCAACCCAGGCTGTTCAAACCGTTAATCCTTGCCCTGGGTTGCGCAAGGGGTCCCCTTTGTAGTGGCTGCCGTTTTGGGATAGTGGGAAGATCGGATTGGCCAACCCCCCATTTTGAGCAGCCCAGCGTCAGCTCCTTGAGGGCTGGTCATCCAACCACCCAAGAATCAGGATTCCTATACCTGGAGTCTCCTTCTGACCCTTAAAAAATGGTTGGTCATCACACAAAATTATAGGGGTTATGAGCGTTATGAGCCCTTCTCTAGGGGTCATGGAGACTCTAGGTAGACGTTGCCCCCCAGCTCCAAATACCTTGTTTTCAAGGGTATGTTGATGAACCGAGCAGGTGGATCAAATCCACCAATTGGGATGGATGAAGACCGACGACTGAGATATATACATCACGTACCAACTTTTGCTGGATTATGTTCATTCCACCCTATCTACCAGAAGAAAGCGGCTACGTGGGTTTCATCGGGTGGTCTTCCTTTTGGCGTCCCTAACAAACACAAACACCGGGCAACAATTTCGACAGACCCAAGAGGGTACCCATGTTCTGGCTACCCTCTTGGGGCTTTTGACAAATATCTTGCTTCAGCTGACACGGCCCTAGCCGCCCCCCCCCCCCCCCCTCCAAACCGGCAGCCTGGCTGTGACGCCCCTAGCCGGCCCCTGCCAAACCGGCCTTGCTGACACGCCCCTCCGTCCCGGCTTGCTTCGATTTGACGAGGACTGCGCGGACTATCCGGACCCGATGAACGAGCTGCTGCACGAGCCCACGAGCCGCTAGGACTCGGGCGCCCGGCGCCCGCCGTACGCCTTCGGCGCGCCTTCCGAGTCCCCGGGTGGCTCGTCTTTTTGTTGGACCGTGGGTTGGTTTCAAGGGAAAGCCTGCCATTTTGGGGATCCCCGGAAAAAAAGAGAGACACCGTTTGCGGGTTGGTTTGAAGGGACAAGGAAAGGACACCGGCCATTTCGGGGATCCCCGGAAAAAAATAGCGAGAAAAAAAAGAAGACACCCCCCATGTGGATGTGTCATGTGTCAATCTGGTTGCAAAGGGTGGCTTTCCTGGGGTTCCCCATTTAGCACCGGGTGTCCAAAATGAATCGGTCTCCTAAAATGGCAACGGTTTCCCTTTCCCTTCCCTTTCCCTTCCCTTTCCCTTCCCTTTCCCTTCCTTTCCCTTTGCTTCCCTTCCCTTTGCTTCCCTTTGTATTTGAGAAGGTTAAACAAGGTTAAACAATAAGGCAGTTTGGTTTCATGTTAATTTGCCGCGATGGTTTTTGGGCCCTGAAAATGGTTTGTTTTCAAAGGCTGAGGGGTCCGGGTTTTCAATGGAGCGCCCGGGGCCTGCATTGGAGGGGTCAGGAGCCTTAGGGCAGGGGACATCAAATTTGTTCGCAAAGGGATGTCCAAACTAAGACATCTGCTGAGCGCGCGCTTGGGACCGTCTTAAATTCAGATTTGGGTTTCTTTTGGTTTTCTCTGAAACCATCCATTGGGTCTTCTACGGGGCGCACTCAAATGGGTGTATTTTTTGGAGGGTACCCTTTTTTGGACTGACGAAAGGACACCGAACAGAAACCAAGCATTCAGTGGTGTCTGTTTAATATTAAGACAGATCCTTAAGTTGATGTTTTCATGTCGGGTTTCAATCCTGCAGGCACTGGCGAAGTTTGGTCTCAGAGCTATCTTGAGACCTTTGGACCCAAGCTCGCCATTAAGATCCGCCTTCACTTGGGGCTTTGGGGCTAGAGTGATGGTATAGAGCAAATTTCAATCCTAGGGTATGTTGCTTTTTACATTAGGAGCAGTGATGGGAGGAGGTTCTTGATTCCATCCTCTCTGCTCGAGCCCTCTAAAACTGCGAGCACCCTTTTGGGTCGCTGGGTAGGTATTGGATTCCGCCTAAAAGGAACCAACAGTGCTTGGCGCAGGATCATGTGAACACGTGCTTTGTGTTTGCAAATGGGGGTTCTACCAGACAATCCCGGGAACATCTTCCAGGACCTCCGAGGGTATCCTTAAAAGGGGAAACTCACATTATCCCTAGCCCTTTAATGAAATTGTGGGACGGTGACCCTGAAATCCTGCACTAGATAAATGGATTTCCCCCCCCACCCCCGATCCCACATTCCCGGAGAAGAGTCGCAAGGTTTTGAACACAGCCCTTCCGGCAGGACACTCTCAAGCGTCTCACCTGACTGCCAGGGTTCCTCATAAGTCCCGATGTCATTGCCAGACTTACCTTGCTTGCTCTTTTCGTTGTTGTTTTTTTTTTTGGGGGGGGGTTCCATCATTTTTGCCATTGAACCAGCAAAAGGTGAATTAGTTTTTGCAGGGTCACGGTCGAAGTCTGGTGCCCTTTCTAACGGGATAAGTCTTGGCGGGTTCCCAGCCTTTCCGAACCGCAGACTTTTGGAGTGAGGGAGTCATGCCATACGAAAAGATGTTAGCCTTCAACATGGGATCGTTGCGAACGAGTGAGGTGTATAACCCCCCCCCAAGATACAGTCTCCCCATTGTTGGTGGACCCCCTGATGGTTGGCATCGAAAGGGAAACAAAAAGAAGACCAACCATTTTCAAGGCATCCCTATTTGACTCCCATATATGGAACATCAACCCCACGCTGGAGCCTGCTACAATGTTGCTCCTATTCAGGGCAGACCACATGGAACAGAATTTGAAAACAATTTTCCCATTTACCCCCCTCAACACTCAAACTCAAGATGTGCCCGGGCGGCTTCAAAAAACACTACAAACCATGATCCCCATGCTTGAAAGGCCAAGAGAAAGGGACGCATACGGACCCCTGCCCCGGAATTGAATCAGGTCTGACCAGGCAGGGCTGCAAAGTCCAGCCGAGCGCAGCGCTCAAAAGCCATAGGCGGATGAGTCAAGATGTTGGGAACCCCAACACCAAACAGGTCGCCTTTTGGTTTCCCTTGAAAGCAATCTGATCCCCCCCTAAGTATCTCCTTTTTCCTTTCAAACCAACATGCCCCCAACCCCTTTATAAAAAAAGAAGAACAACAACACACACGATTTTGAGTTCCCCCCAATAGTCACCATTGCCCCTGGGAACGACTTGAGACCATATGGGGCACCAGCTTTTTTTTGTTTTGTTTTTTCCTGGAGTGGGGCTGATGCCAATGACCATAGGTGTCCTTTTTGGTTGTGTTGGTAACATGGACAAAATCCATTTCGCACCACCGTTCAGAAACCCTGGAAGGATGATTCCCGTGAAAATACCATCAAACAAATGGCTTCCCATGGTTTCAAAGTGGTGCAGGATTTTGTCCACCCACAGTATGCCAATGCTGACCTGGAAAGTTCCCCACAAAAGGGCAACAGGGGAAGGCAGGCTTTGTCCACCAACAACCCAGTTTAAGGGTCTTTGGAAAGTTTGGATGATACCAATGACTTTTGAGAGCTGCTCAACTGCACTGCCGCAGACCAGTGTGTCTGAACCCTAGACACGCTCGAGCTTTGCTCGACTGGCGCTTCCAAAGGGGTCGCCGCTTGCACTGGAGTCGCCGATCGCCGCGGCGCGCACGCGAAATATCTCAACAGAGAACAGGACTTTGGAATGCTCACTTCCTGAGTTCCTGGACTTCAAACTGTTGGGGAGAGACACTCAGGAAGTGAGGGAAGAATCTTGGAAAGGGAGCCCAAAGAACCACCGAGCATTCCGAGGGGTTCCTTTTCCGTCATACCTGCCTTTCCCATTGGGCAACTTTCAAAGCTGATACAAGACCCACAGGAGACCGATCTTTCGAATGTTCAGCCGCAGCGAACTGCCTCACAGAAACAGGTTGGAAGGATTCCTGAGGAAACTGAAACGACTTGATGGGATCTGCTTTGTGACCTGTCAAGTGTTCAGTTATGTTGATTGGCCCAGTGTCTTTCTTGAATGGCTTCGGCTTGCCTTTTGGTTTCTCTTTAAAGCCAAAGTAAAAGGGGGTAGCCTCAACAAAGACAACCCCAATTGAATGCTCACCAGGCGCCCGCTGCCTCTGCATTCATCCGAGGCGAAGCTGGATCAAGCTGGGCCAAGCGTTGAAGCCAACAAAGTAAGACTGCGGCCCCTTTCATGGTTGTTGTTGGGAAACATTTTACATTTTTGCTTGTTGTGGTTTAGTGGGAAATCCCCACTGAACTGCTAAACATATAATTTATGCTCCCCTTCGAACGTCAACCAAGCTTTATCCGATGTTTCTTCGCCGATGTACTTGGACTAAACACTACAACATGGTCTTCTTGCGTACACCAAGCCACGGTTTGACAACATGTGGCCCAAGGAGCTCAACGTTTAAAGGCCCAGCCCTGCGTGCCCAAAGTGAGGGACAGAACTCGAAGGGAGCGCTGAACGGTTTGCGCGTGGTGCGCGCCGCGAAACGGCTTATGAGGCCACGGTAAAGCCGTTGCTTTGCTAATAGGCAAGGCAAGGATCTGAGAGCAGAAAAAGTGTCAGGCGGTCGTCCCCTTGGCTTCGATCAAAGTTCCTAATATGGGTCTTTTTGTTTGAGCCTCGGTTCACTTTCTGGGAATGGTTTAAAGGGAAACAAAAAACCAGGGTCCCCTACAAAAAGGACACACCCATGTCCCGCCAATTTGCCACCTATGGCGTGTTTTTGATTTTCTGCCGCTCAATTCTCCAAGCCCAAAGTCTAAAGTGACCTTTTTTCACCTTTTGGGTATCCTTGTTTGGTTCATTTCCCAAATGGCGGGGGTTGTACGAATTTTGCCTAAGCCAATCCATTTTATAGCTCCGGCTGTACAGGGTATCCTTGAGACCGCCAAAAGGGGAAAGCCAAAAGGTCATGTCCGGTCGATTCGCGATGGACAAGTGAGAAAATTGTGGCAATAGTTTGCGACATTTTTATCGAATTGTTGGACCTTGCCAGAAAAATAGGTGTCTCCTTCTTTAGAGGTTACCTTATTGGGTGTGCTTTCAAGAGGGGACAAAAGGAACCAATGGGGAATGTCAAGGTTCCAGCAGCACAGTATTGCTATTTTTGGTCCCAGGTCAATTGGGCAAGCTCATCCCATCCCAACTGGAGCGCTGGGGATTTCCTCCAGCAGTATGGCTATCAAAAATCCCAAAGCTGCCAATAAGTGAGTTTAGACTTTACCCATGCCTGGAGTCTCCATGCCCCTTTAAAAAATGGGGTCAATACCCAAAATTAAGGGGTGATGCTAATGGCCCGCGGAGACTAACCCTGACACGAAAAACTCCGACTTCGCTTTGGATTCCGCCGAGGCATGTGGCTGTCATCTTCCCAGTGCGCCATTCGGAAACGCTTTTGGGCCTTGGGCCTTGGGAAAGCGGCGTGGGAAACCTTGGATGGGAGGTTCGCCACGAAGTAGTGAAGCTTCCCGTTGGTTGCTGGGCCACATCTAGGTTCCCCTAGTTCCCTTGGTTACCCGGAAAGTTGAACACATCCCGGTGTCTACTGTCGACCATTCAAAGACAAGGTAATAAGGTACTGCTCTCAAAAGTTAGGCGTTCCCCTAAGCAGCAAACTGAGATCCTTACATTGAACTGGTTTGGGCGCGAAACACCCCATCCCTCCCTAAGTGAGTGTGCATTTGTTTTGTAAGAATCAGGTGTGTCTTTTTTAGGGTGCCCCGTTGTTTGTGTGTTTGTTTGTTGGGGAGGGGGGAAAGGAAAACTACTCCCCTAGCTGGTTCCTGGACTTCATACTGCTTCGAAGGACCATTTTAGCGGTAAATGAAAAGCTCTGACTTTTTTTTCCAATCCACTCGATCGGAAGTGAGACTACCATGTTTGTGGTTCCCTATAACTTTTATTTCAGGGCCAACATTCTGGCAAACCTCTTGGTTTGGATTGGAGGTCTGGATTCGGATGTGAACCTGTTGCCAATCGATGGTACATCGATGTCCAATCTCTAAACCAACGGGCTCCAAACCAACAGGGGAGCTGAAATATGACGCAGTCTGAGTGCCTTTGTCTGCCGGAGGTACCGTGAGCGAGAGCTAGAGGCACGGCGGGCCAAAACAACGGCGGTTTGGTGGGTGGGTGTTTTGTGAGGCTGGTGTTTGTGTGTGTGTGTGCGTGTCTGTGTTTTAGGTGGGTATCCTTTTCTGGGTTGGATTGAAGGGACACCAACAGGAAATGGACCATTTTGGGATTCCCCTATTTTGGCGCAGGTTAAGCCTTGCGGAGACATGAGGGGTGTGTCCCCATGGAAGGATTCCCCCATACCGGAACAAGGATGTTTCAGGGTAAGGCAAAATTGCGCAAGTTTCACAAGTCGTGGCTCAAGGAATGATATCAACAAATAGTGAAACGTATAAAAGAGTGAATGAACAACACTATAACAATATAAGAACAATACAACCCATATCACAAAGTGGTTGTTTAGGGAAAAAAAAACAACTTTCAGATGAGGCTTTGAAACCAACAATCTTTGGTGATCCCCGGGACTCCAACATCATCAATATCTACATCGCTTGCTGGCGCTCAGCACGGAATGACTTGGAATGACCCCTATAAACCATCCAACTGGTGTTTCCTCAAAGGGGACCATCTGGTTCATTCCCTCATTCCCTACCTATCACAGCAGCAAGATCTACATCATTTGTCGAGTACTTCCGTTACTTGGATTCGACCTTGGTGTGGGGTTGGGAGCGACATTTACTAAGCATGTTGCGGACAGGAAGGATTTGTCCCCTGACCACCCCATAGAAGCCCTAAGAAGCCTCAGAACCCCCATTTGGACGTTCGGCCAATTTAGCAAGTGGTTTGCCATTTAGGGTATACCTGGGTTATAGCCGAAGGTTTACCAACAACTTAGTCACCTGGCGAATCAAGACCCAAGTACTGACCCCCTCCTCCCAATAGCCCCTTTCATGACGGGTATCATTCGTCAAATAATGTCAGCTGAGCAACAAATGAGGTATTTACCACGGACCGGGTCAGAAGCCCTATTAACATCCCCACCTTGTTGGCCCCGCACCCCAGTAGGGCGGCTGTGTGAGTTTTCGTTGCGGATGTTTTAAGGATGCGAAGAGCGTAGCGTCTTGGCAACAAACACCCAAGTAGGGAGCCTTAGGGGACCGCCGAGTGGCGATTTAATCACCCCCCCACCCCTATGACCGACCCCCCCAAGCAGAGAATTTCCCACTGTGGATGGACGAAACCCATTTCGCACCACCACAGAAACCCTGGAATGATGCGATTCCGCTAAAAAGCCGCCTAAAAAATAAGAAGAA